GAATGAGAAGTGTCCAATTGACCCCTAATCTTTTAACCAAAGATGAATCAATGAAATTATGCAAACTGCCTGAATCAATGAGAATAAACACATAACAACTCTTAATGCTACCAACCACCTTCATGGTTTTAATAGATTTAGGAGTTGGAGTACCAAAAAGTGCACATGATGTGATTTCAGGTTCCAAATTGTCATTCTCAGAATTTTCAACATCACTAGAGGGTTGCAAATCAATAAGCAAGAGTTGTTTCTTCTCACAAGAATGTCCCCTAACATACATTTCTTTAAAATGAAAGCATAAGCCATGTTTTCTGCAATATTCTACTTCCTTTGGCGCTAATCTTCTAACATTTTCAATTCTTGGTTTGTTATCACCCATAGTCACATTAGCAACATTCTGGAAAAGAGTACGAAATGATGAATTACCAGAAGAACGCGAGAAAGGCTTGGATCTTTAAATCTGACAACTTTGCATCTAGCTGTTGAGCATAAGTTGTAGCTTCAAGAAGATTTCTTGACTTCAAAATCTTCACATCGTGCCGCAATTCAGATTTGAGACCCCCAATGAAGAAAGATTTCAAAAGAGAATGATTGATGTCTGATGTTCGATTGGCTAACCTTCTGAATTCCAAAATATAATCTCGCAACGAACCCCTTTGCCGTAATTTCACCAGACTTTCAACCGAATCCTCGAACTCAGATGGCCCAAATTCTTGACAAATAGCCCATTGTGAATTCCTCCCATTTGGGAAAATTAACCAAACAGTTCACCCATTGAAACCACTGAAGGAGTTCATCAAAATGGAAAGAGGTCATCTTCACTTTCTTGAAGTTTTCGTGTTAGGTACTCAAACCCAAGGGAAGAGCCCAACCCAAAAGACTAGCCTGATAGGCGGGAGGACCCCAAGGACTTAAGTACCACTACACCATTTTTGGTGTAGCCGATGTGAGATCATAACATTACACCCCCCTTCGGAAGACCCGACGCCCATGACGGCCCTTACTCTGGTGGCTTTCACTCTTAACAGCGGCGCACCCTCTAGTCGTCCCTTTAAGGTAGCCCTTTCCAGGTCGCCCCCTCCGCAGGTCGAGACCCGACGCCCACGGCAGCCTTTACTCTGATGACTTTCACTCTTAACGGCGGCGCACCCTTTGATTGTCCCGTTAAGGTAGCCCTTTCCAGGTTGCCCCCTTCGCAACGTCAGGAACCTAGGCTCTAAGTTCTCATTTTCAGAAGTATCAGTATCACACAAAGGTTGCACATCAATGAGCAATAATTGTTTCTTCTCACAAGTATGCCCTCTAGAATATTTCTCCTTACAGTGAAAACATAACCCATTTTTTCTACAATATTCCACTTCTTCAGGAGTTATTTCCCTAACATTCTCATATTTCAATTTGTTATCCCCTATATGCACATTACCCACATTCTGTAAAGGAGATCGAATTGCAGAAGTACCAAAAGAATGAGAGAATGACTTAACCTTTAAATCCGAAAGCTTGGCATCAATCTGCTGCGCATAGGCCGTGGCTTTAAGAACATTTCTTGGCTTCAAGATCTTGACATCATGGCGTAATTTAGCTTTAAGACCAAGATTTCAGCAAAGGAGTGATCAGATGTGCGATTTGCCAAACGTCTGAATTCCAGAATATAGTCCCGCAATGTCCCTGATTGCCTCAATTTAGCCAGACTTTCTGCTAAATCTTCAAATTCTGATGGTCCGAACTCTTGACACAAAGCTACTGTGAATTCTGCCTAGGTAGGGTAATTGACTACACAATTCGCCCATTGGAACCACTGAAGGGGTTCGCCTTCCAAATGGAAAGAAGCCATCTTAACTTTCTTAGAATCATCGATGTGGAAAAAATCGTAAGTGTTCGGCCTTCTAAATCCACGACAAGGGTTCATCACCATCACCAAAACAGGGAAAATCCATTTTGATAAATAGGGGACGTTGATGGAAAGATTGCAAATGCAGATCAGGCCGATCGAAATTGGGTGGAAAATTAGGGTTCATACACGGTGGACAATTGGGATCAGAACATGTTGCTTCAGAGGATTCGCCATTCAATCCACTACACTTCATTGATAATGATTGGATTTGCTGCAGAAGCAACTCAATCGCAGCTCAAGATTTCGATCGTAATTCATGGACTTTTTATTTGAATTCGTCGAACAAAGTATCCAGCTTGGAGACGACGCGCGCCTCCATCGGTCGTTTGGAAGTAGCGTGAGGCATACATGAGAAAGATTGAGGAGGATCGACACTAGCTGATACCAATGTTAGGTACTCAAGCCCAAGGGAAGAGCCCAACCCAAAAGACTAGCCTGATAGGTGGGAGGATCCCAAGGACTTAAATACCACTGCACCATTTCTGGTGTAACCGATGTGGGATCATAAATACTGAAGAAATCGAAATAGTGCTCCGTTTTAAAGGTCCACACCAATGGTTCATCCCCGTCGCCGAATCGGGGAAAATCCATCTTAAGAAACGAAGGCCCTTTGATTCGACGAATTGGGAACTAAATCGGAGCGAAAAAAAAATTAGGACCTAGATTGGTATTCATCATTTCTTGAAGAATCGGATCGGAATGGGTGTCTTCTGACGATTGACCGATAGAACCACTACCCTTTGTGGATAAAGATTGCAACTGTTGAAGAATCAACTTGTGGGCTACACGATATTCTTCTCTGGATTCTCTTAATTCATTTCTGGATTCCTTTATTCGTTCTGTAAATCAGCGAACAAAGATTCGAGCTTCCATACACGAGTATCCATGGTTCTTTTGGAAGCAAGGCGAGTCATACACGAGGAAGGATCAAGTAAGATCGAAAGTACTGGCTGATACCAATGATACAACCCAAGCTCTGCATCTCACTCAATGTACAGTAACTGAGTATTTCTTATTGCCATCAACAAATCAACAACCTTCCCTATACAATCTTTCCTAATATAGCACTAGGTAGCTTAACCTCTAAGTCACCAACTCCTAACTATCTAACAACTTAACAGATATTACTAACTCAACCATACTATCCTAAACAATACGACCACATCATCAACTCAACATGCTGAGTCATCACTAAGCCCCAGTATCCTATCAAAAAGAACCATAGATGTGCAGTAGAATAAGTTAGACATAAGGGCGAAGAGCACTATCAAGCTACATCTTGTTGACAATGTGATAGGTCGATGAGGATATGAGCGCTAAAGAAACATGGGAGAAACTTGAGAAATTTTACAAAGGGTAAGACTTTATCCAACAAACTTTTCTTGAAAGATGAACTTCTCAATCTTCGGTTGGAAGAAGGTGGAGATTTGCAATATATATTCCAGAATTATGTTACCAATTTATCAAAGATGGATGTGAAGTATGAAGACGATGATATATAAAACGCTCTTATTGTTGAGATCTATTCCCCTTTCGTTCAAGCACTTCAGAACAACACTTGTGTTCGGTAAGGATTTCTCAAGAGATGTCACACGAGCAGGCAAAGTTCGCCGAACATTGCTAAATTCTGTGTGTTTGAGTGTGGTGTGTTTGCTTTATTGTTCAACGTTTCGCATATCATCATGTCATAAGTTTGCATAACATGGGAGAATATATATCGATAACATGATCGACCAACGGAGATTAATATCAACAATTGTGATGATTTAAAATAGTTTCAAAATATAAAACCCAAATTGATCGATATTTTTGGTTCAATGAGAAAAACTTACATGAATTGAAAATCCTAAAATGTCGATATCTTCAACAATACGACGTTATGTGAAAAACTTAAAATGTGTGACATCATATTATTAAGTATATTATTAATCTAGAACAAAACAATAGTGTTCCTAGAGTATAAGCAAGTTTTTCTCATATTGGAAGCATCTATACTTGCATATATCCACCTAAGTTGGGGAAAAGAGCATCCACTTTTTCCCCGTACAATATTAACAATGAAGACGAAGAAAAAGGAATAATATTAGGCTGTTAGCTAATATATAGTACGCACCGTCACTGCCTTATTAAGTACGTATACAGTACTCATATAACAACTCGGTACTCCCTCATGGCCTTTGAAGAGACAGATGCTCTCTAATTAACAATGAAGACGAAGAAAAAGGAATAATATTAGGCTGTTAGCTAATATATAGTACGCACCGTCACTGTCTTATTAAGTACATATACAGTACTCATATAACAACTCGGTACTCCCTCATGGCCTTTGAAAAGACAGATGCTCTCTAATTAAGGGAAATGGATCTCCGGATCCCTTCCTCCTAATTCATCAAATTAGGAAATCTGTACCGTTAAAATTTGATTAAACAACTACAAATAGAAGCTCATTTCAAAATTATAATAACTTCAGCCGTTGAATATTTACAATGTACCAACACGCAAAACATATTATACAGGTGGCAGTTTCTGCCAACCCAAATTTTATTTAGTATTTTAATTACTTTTGATGATGATCGCGCTTCAATCCGAATACAAATAATTTAGGTACCTCTAAAAGGTGTTCATTCGTTACTTATCAACGGTGGACGATGGATGCAGCAGTGGCTCCAATTAATCTCTTGTATGTTCTACACACACCATAGGGTTGTAGATGCATTTGCTATCAAAAATAATAATAATAATAGTGAAAGCTAAGTCAGTGGGAAATTTAGTCCAATTGCGAGCGTTGGAAAGTGATATGGGTAGGAGAAGTCTGGAAATTCAGAAGTCGAAACCCCGAAAGGACAAAGAATATCGAAAGCTAAAGATATTCATGGGAACGATATTGATATCAACGAGAATACATCCACAGAAAATAAATTAAATAAAATTAATGGATCCATTGATTGGTAAATTTTTAAATTACAAGATGGTAGATAGCAGCCTACCACTGCAAACAGATACATACAACATACAGAAGAAAGAAAAAAATAAATAAAAAAACAAAAAGTAACACAGTAGGGAGCAGTAAGGCGGTGGAAGGAAGAAGAAATTAAGGGGGGCGTACCTCTCGCCGCTACAGAACTCGTAGAGCCTCCCCTTGGGGGAGAAGATGACAAGGCCGACGTCCACCCCGCAGAGCACGGACAGCTCACGTGCCTTCTTTATCAGCCCGGTTCTCCGCTTCGAAAACGTCACTTGCCGCCTGATCTTGTCGTCGATTCGCTTCAGCTGCACCTTCCCTCGCCCCATCACTTGCTGCTCTCGCTTGATCTTAATTTCGCACTCTCTCTCTCTCTCTCTCTCTCTCTCTCTCTCTCTTGTTTCCCTCTCTAGTTTCCGCCAGCGAAAGGTAAAACCTTAACCATAAGCCTACAAAAAGCAGCACCAGCGAATGCGAAAGAAAACCAAAGAAAAGAAACAAACAAACAAAAAAATGAAAAAGGAAAGAGGGGTTTTTCACTTTTTTACCAAATTTCATGCCTCCGTCTGCTGAATATCGGCTGGATCTCTGGCCGCCACGTGTGCCTTCCTCCCGCGGTTAATCATATATTTTAACAGCTCGATTGATGGCGGTCATCACTGAGCCTAATTTCGAAAACATGGAAAATGTGACCGACCCCGCAGTCTTCTCCTCGATCTATTTACTTCTTGAACTCGGGTGAGTCCACTCGTTTCAACTCAGTAAAGATATTTTGAATGAGGACAGTACTCGATGGGAAGAGAGAGATATAGTGGGAGAAGCAGAGGATAAATACTCTCAAAAATAAATGAGATTGTGCCGTTTCTGTTTATTGGTGAAATTTTTTTTTTTTTTTTTTTTGAAAGCTGTTTATTGGTGAAAATAGGAAATGTACCAGGAACCAAAGAGGAAAGTTTTACTTTTGGTGCACACGTCAGCAAGGGAACTGGCAGGTGCTACTTGAGGATGCCAGCAGAGGAAATAGGATAATTTTCAGCGATTTTTCGGAACAAAATAAAGGTATTCTATTAGGACTTCTTCGACCGAAATGTTCAGAATGCCAAAATAGCCATAAAATCGTCTCTAATTAAGGGTCATGTCAAAGGGTTCATGGGCTCTATTGGACAAAAAATAGTCAAGGGGCCAACCAGCCAACCCAAATGAGCCAGCGAGCCGGTCCCAGGGCGGGCTAGAATTCAAAAAACAACAATCAGTTAGCCGTTATTTTTTTTTTTTTTTTTTTTTTTGCAATTTTTTAAGCTGCATTTTAAATAGTCTAACATAAGCCAACATGACACGAGAAAGAAATAATCTCAGCTTATTAAGTTTTTTTTACTCTCTGCTTGATGCAGACTAAGATTAGTGTTTTTTTGTATTATTAGTACTAAGATGATGAAAGATAAATTGATTGTCACCTAATTATTCTCAAATTTGAACTTAAAACATTTTATTTACAATAAAAGTTTTTAGTATTTTTTTCAAACTATTCTTAGTCTAATCAATTAACGCCCTTTGTGTTCTATTAATTTTCACTATTTTTTGTTCTTATTTTTTCACTTTGATTCCAAAATTAGGAGTAACTCAAATTTCTTTATTTATTTTCTATTAATAAGAATTACTAAATTAGCAATATCTTGTCTTGATGTTAAGGGTAAGTAGCAGTTCACTTTTGCTTTTGTCCCATCAACTCACGTCCACGGTCCACATATTTTCCATAATTACGTATATCAAATTTTATGGAATTTATCCTGTTTTGGAATTAGCGGTTCTTTGTAATACGTCCCTATCGGTAGGGGTGGAACACCCACTAGATCCTTTTTAGATTCTCTTTTTGAAGATCTTGAAAATTCGTAAATTATGTGCATTTATTATATATCGTACAATCATTTTTTATCAAGTATTATTTATGTTTAATTTTAAATAAAAAAATTTAAAATGATTTATAACCTTACGATGTACGATAAACAGACATGATTCACGAATTTCCAAATTCATATAAAAATGATCTGACGAGGATCCAGATTCGTGGGAACACACCGCCCTTTTTATTTTAGTACAACAATATATTTTACACTAAAATCATCTTTCACTTATATAACTATTTTAACAGCTCGATTGATGACGGTCATCACCTAGCCTAATTTCGAAAACATGGAAAATGTGACCGACCCCGCGGTCTTCTCCTCTTCTATCTATTTGCTTGTTGAACTCGGGTGAGTCAACTCGTTTTAACTCAATTAAGATACTTTGAATGAGGACAGTACTTGATGGAAAGAGAGAGATATAATGGGAGAAGCAGAGGATAAATACTCTCAAAAATAAATAGGATTGTGCCGTTTTTGTTTATTGGTGAAAATAGGAAATGTACCAGGAACCAAAGAGGAAAGTTTCACTTTTGGTGCACGCGTCAGCAAGGGAACTGGCAGGTGCTACTTGAGGAAGCCAGCAGAGGAAATAGGATGATTTTCAGCGATTTTTCGGAACAAAATAAAGGTATTCTATTAAGCCTTCTTCAACCGAAAGGTCCAGAAAATCGAAAATAATCCTAAAATCATCTCTAACCGAGGTTCAGACCAAAGAACTCATGGGCCCCAGTGGATAAAAAGGGGCCAAAGGGCCAATCAGGCGGCCCACATGAGCCAGCCAGCAGATTCTGGGCTGAGCTGGAATTCAAAAAGCAACAGTCAGCTAGCTAATGTTAGCTAGACGATATTTTTTATTTTTTATTTTTTTTACAGTTTTTTAAGCCGCATTTTAAATAGTCTAACATAAGCCAACATGACACAAGAAAGAAATAATCTCAGCTTATTAAGTTTTTTTTACTCTCTGCTTGATGCAGACTAAGATTAGTGTTTTTTTGTATTATTAGTACTAAGATGATGAAAGATAAATTGATTGTCACCTGGTTATTCTCAAATTTGAACTTAAAACATTTTATATACAAATAAAAGTTTTCAGTATTTTTTTCAAACTATTCTTAGTCTGATCAATTAAACCCCCTTGTGTTCTATTAATTTTCACTATTTTTTGTTCTTATTTTTTCACTTTGATTCCAAAATTAGGAGTAACTCAAATTTCTTTATTTATTTTCTATTAATAATAATTACTAAATTAGCGATATCCTGTCTTGACGTTAAGGGTAAGCAGCAGGTCACTTTTGCTTTTGTCGCATCAAATCACGTCCACGGTCCATATATTTTCCATAATTACGTATATCAAATTTTATGGAATTTCTCCTGTTTTGGAATTGGCGGTTCGCTCACAGACCAGCATTCCTAATACATCCCTATCGGCAGAGGTGGAACACCCATCAGATCCTTTTCAGATTTTCTTTTTGAAGATCTTGAAAATTCGTAAATTGTTTACATTCATCATATATCGTACGATCATTTTTTATCAGGTACTGTTTGTGTTTAATTTTAAATTAAAAAATTTTAAATGATTTATAACTGTACAATTTACGATGAACTGTCACGATTCATGAATTTTCAGGATCCTCATAAATTATCATCTCCAGCCTTGACTTGTAACCTATTTTTCCCCTTCTATTCCCCTCCCCCCAAAAAAATCCAACACAACCCAATCTTAAAATTGGACTTAAAACCTAAAACCTAAAACAAAGCCAGATTTAGCCCAGGATTAGTGGAGCTGACCCATCATATATGTATATTTTATTTTGTTTTATATTTACAAGTTCATTAAATCCAACGATTAAGATCTAATTTGATGAAATTCAACGGTAAAAACAAAAATTTAACGGTCCAAATTTAAATCTAACGGCTAAGGTAATTAATAAAAATCTTTTATGTGTTTCATATTCTTTCATAGTGTTTAAGAAGTTTCACGGTGTCAGTTAGTGATTTTTCAGTATTTGTCAGAATCTAAATATTTTTAGGTTAAAATGTTCATAAAATTAAATTATGATAATCTACATAGTTTTCTTTTAAAAAAGTTACTTTAAGAAAAAAATTAGTCTAAATTCATTCTTTAATATTATGGGGCTAAAATTTTAGGCTAAAAGGGTTGGAGCAAAAAAGCTATTTCTGGGTTAAAACCTAAATTTTATGGGCTAAAAATTTTAGGTTTTAGGCCAAGGGGGAGTTCGGCTAAACTACACAATGGGCAACCTAATTTGCTATCTAATTTGTTATTTACAAGATTCGAACCTAAGACCTCTTGACACACCCAGACCCGGAATGTCCACCTGGACACCCGAATCGCAATGTGCTGGTCAATACCTGGAAGGTGATGAAGCCATAAAGTGTAGTGATGTGAAAAATGTGAATAAATTAAAACCTAAAAGTGACTAATTTAGAGTGCACATGTGAGCTGGATTGAACCCATATCACACAAGTGATGTCATAGCATAGATAAATTGCAGTAAAAGAAGAGGAAAGACATTTATACCGAAATGAGAAGTCTCCTACATGATAGCTTTTACCAGCAATCCTCTTTGTCACGAAACCTCTGTCACTAAAATCCTGGAGAGGCAAAAAACAAGGGTGAGTGAGCTTGAAAATAAAGTTTTGTAAAACCTTTTCGAAAAGTGTAACCCCTCGCTGTAAAACATGTATATGGTTGTCCAAAAATACTATAATAAATCAATGCTCATTAATTTATGTAGGCACACAAGTCCGCTGCAGAGATATTCAAACAATGGAACAGGCTGGGTGTAGGTTTTACATTCTAGTACTACATCACGTGAGTTGCGCTAGTCACATCACATATGAGTCCAACACATCACACAAAATGACATACTAGCACCTAACTCTGAATGTAAACGGTGCATGTGAACTACGCGTAAAGCTAGTCCTTAGCCCATGACAGTACAAATAACTAAAAGACACTGTGAAAAATGTAATAATGAGCAGATCTTAAAACGCAAGGATGTCATGCCACAAGTTTATGCTCACAAATAATATTAAAAAACATAAAGTGTATGAAAAGTCTATTTGTAAAGCTAAACATGACATGTCACATCATAGTATATAAAAGTAGTTGTTGGGAAAATCACATATACATATATATATATATATATATATATATATATATATATATATATATATATATATATATACGTAAAAACAAAAAGACCCACTCACAAGTACTTGCAATGTCACATCCTTTCAAGCTAAGAAAGCCGAAGTCTTCGATAGTGATTACACCTAAGCATAATATTGGGTCCCGTCAATAAAACTCAACTAAAATGATTTAATTTGGAAAAACGGACAGCGGATTCGGAATCAACACGTCGAAATACACTAAGAGGGGTCCCGGGCAAATTTTGTAAAAAGTCAACGGTCAACCCTAAAAGTCAACCATGCCACACAGTAGTCAACTACATTAAAACTTTGAAATTTCACTAGATGTCAAAATGAACTCAGGGCGTCGAAATTAGCCTAGAAGGGTTTTCAAGAAAATTTCAAAAAAAAGTCAACACAAGGAATATTCTAGAATTTATTTGGAATTTAGGCTAGGACGCACCTGGGTTTTAGTAGGTTCTAGGTTTGGACTTAGGCCTTTTTTCATACTGGGTCTGGTTGACCCGATTGGCCTCGTGGGTTGCCCTAAAGGTTTTGACCGGGTCAAATCTGGCCCACGAATATGGGTTTTGGGCTTCTTCTAATTTTTTTAAACGAGTCGGGCTGACCCGATCCCTATCGCTGGTCCAGTCACCGGTTTCTAGGTTGGTTTGGCCGGGATAAATTCCTAAGCTCTGATTAGCTTTGAATCATAACCATTTTTCACACTCTACCTATCAAAATGAAGCTTAAGAGAAAAGGAAGAGGAATGTACCAACATAAGGTCTTGTAGTGGCTGGAGTTAGCCGGAAAACTGCCTGCAAGTGCAGAGTTTCTTGCCGAAAACTGGAGAAAACCCTAGAAATCGGTTAAGGGTTACCGAGTTCGATTTCGATGCATTTCCAAGTGAAAAACACATTTAATCTCAAAATAAGGTTTAGATTCATACCCAAACAAAATTTCATAGGGGAAGAGGTTGAATCCACCTCGGATTCAATTGAAATTGGCCGAGTTCGTCGCCGGAACCGGACATGCATGCACAAAGGATGACAGGGGTTAAAAACCCTTCATTCGAATTCTAATTTCACCAAACCACACCCCCAGAACACAGATTCAATCAAGTCTATGAGGAATGGAGTTAGAAACCTCACCTGAGTTCGAAAATGAACTCGGAGAACCTGGGTTCTTCAGTTCAGTCCTCTCCCAGCAACCTATCACACATGCAAGGGCGTCATCGTGATCCTCATGTCACGAGGATGCAGAAAATGGTAGTTTGGGGTTAGATTATTTAAAGGGGAATGGTGGTTGTGGGTGGTGGTTCTCGGTGAGTTAGAGAGAGTGAGGGTGAGTTGCATAGAGACTTAGTGCAAAGAGAAGGAAAGTGTCAAGAGTTAGAGAGAGAGGGAATGATTTCAGGAATTGGGAGGGAGAGCATTGGGAGAGATGAGAATGGAAGAGAGAAATGATGGTTCAGAAACTTGCCGGATTGGGCGAGATGTGATAGTGGGGTGCCTTCGGGGTTTCTGTACAAAACAGAGAAGGGAGAGTTGCAGAGGTTAAGGGAGAGAGAAAGAGAGAAAAAGAAAGAGAAAAAGAGAGTCACGTGTGAGGAAAGGGTGAGTGGAAATAGTGGGATGAAAATGATGGGTCTAGTTGATCAGATGGGTGGAGTGCGAGAGCGGTAATGGTGCACAGGAAGAAGAAGCACATGGAAGAGGAAGTGGAAAGAAAACATAATTAAAAATAGAGGAAGGAATACAAACGGGTGATTAAAATAGCAAAAATCTGCTGTAATTCATGGAAAATCACGGGATGGGATTTCAAATCCCAAATTAAAAAGTGATTAAAATAGCAAAAAACTGCTACAATGCATATAAACTCTGAATCGGGTTTCGTTTGCAACTTCGAAAAAAATGAGTACTATTCGAAAATAGTAAAATAAGAGTAGAAAGGTGAATAGAAAATTGAGGTCCACGTGGAAGGCCTACATGGCATCTCAAGGGCATTTTGATAATTTCGCTGCTACAAATAATAAAATACGATAAACCTTGGGACATGATGTAACACCTCTCACTTACAAGTGAAAATGAATATCACTATATCGTAGTACTGAGTGGCCTTTAGGGAACACACCCCCTTCAAACAATTATTTGCCGCGGAAGAGAATGTTATATTTTTATCGACTGTTTCTTGATAATTATTGGAAGAAAAACGTAGAAAAGAAATGGAAGCAACTAATACTATTACCTAGCTATGAAGCTTTAAAAATTTTAAAATTATCTTGTGTTTAGTATAAATATATTGCCCAAAATTTTATTTTGGTTCTCTTTCTTTAGTTTTGTTAACAAAGTTAATTTGGTATTTTCGACCTATTTTTGTTGACAAAGAGAGATTTGTTATATGTAGTTTAGATAAGTAGCTATAGGGATATATCAACCGACGATGAGACGAGCATTTGAATGGTTGGATTATTATAAAATTTAGCTGCCTAATGCAGGAATTTATTGTAAAAGTTTCAAGGTGTTAAGGTGACTTCCTTTCCTATCGCCACAGGCCCAAAGGAACACTCGTCCAAAGGAAGAAAGGCCAATGCTCAACAAGATTAAGAAGGATGACCCCGAGCGCTCTAAGCAATTGCTCAGCAGTTTGGATTGCCTGTCATGAAGGAAGCCAAATGCTTCCTCATTAAGTATTTTTCAATAGTTGGGAACAAGTTGGGACACTAATAACTTTATAGCACAAAATCCTAGGGACACAGGGAAAAACTTACTCAAACATCAACTCCAAGCCATATGACGACTATCGAAGAGAACATAATTGTGTGAGCATGTAACTGGACCTAGACGGATGTCTCTTTGCTCCCACACATCGGCTAAAGAACGGAGGGGCAACTAACAAGTCAAGTATATGTGTTATGCGCATTAGATGCAAAGGTTGAAAGACTTGAGCCCAGAGACTTGGGTCATGGATGGCTTATATAAGGAAGATGAGTACTCCTTAAAAAGGGTCGGACGAGTTTAGAGAGAAATGTGTGAAAGTAGAGTGTTATTTGTAATCCACTATGTTCACATGGTCATACCATCTAGGGTGCACTCACAGAGTCGAGTTCTATAATACCAAAGAAAATCACGAGCAAATTTAGTCTCCTTAATATTACCCGTTTGTTGATGTGACAAACTTACTGGACCTACAAATAAAAGAGAATCCGATCCGGAACTCTCCCATCAAAGGCCCAAGATTAAAGATCCAGACCGTTGAAATTTGATCCAACGGCTACAATTATTATAACTTTTAGAGAGACCTCCTGTTTGTAGCCGTTGGATCAAATTTCAACTACCCGAATCACTTGATCCTAGGACTTTGATGGAAGAGATCCGGACCGGATCCTCTTCCACAAATATGTGATTGAATGCCACTGTTTCCTCAGAAAAATATGTTACTAAAAAGTTGTTAAGCCTACAACAAAAGCAATAATAGTCCAAATGAAGAATGGGCCAGACTGAATTTGGGCCAAGAAAACCCAAATACAACCCATTTAAATGCCCACGTTTGCACAAGGCAGGCGGGGAAACCGAAAATCTGAAAGGCAAGTCATTTCTCCAGGCTTTGTAGCAGAGCAAATGAGTGCTTTCCGTGATCGACAAGAGTGGTAGAGAGAGAGAGAGAGAGAGAGAGAGAGAGAGAGTCTCAAATCAATTACGAAAGCAAAAGATGGCATCTTTGAGCCGGAGAGACGACGGGGATTCTCCACTTCCGGCGAAAGCTCCAACCTTTTTCAAGATTGTTTTGGACAAAGCTCTTCGAGATGGCAGGCTTGTAAGTTAATTTTCGCTCACGCACTCACTCTGTGTCCCTTCATCTTCTTTTTTCAGCTTGCATGCGATGTCCTTCAAAGTTTAAACTCTCTTGTGCTTGGATTTTTAATGGAAAAAAAAATAGAAAGATAAAAGAAATCCTGGGTGGCCCTTTAATTCTTGATTAAATTTTTATGAACTTTTGTTTTGCTAATTAATTTCTTGAAAGATATTTACTTGTGCTTATTTCCCTTTCTGCATGTCAAGAATTTATACAAAAATATTGTTATAAATCTCTCTGACTCTCTGACTCATTTGGTGGTTTGGTTTTTGGTATTTTTGGAAATGGCTTTGTAAATCTCAAGTTTAATTAACTTGTTAATCTGTTAAAATCTTATGGATTTAACCTTTTTTGTTCAACCCATCCTTCATTGACATTGAAAGCAGATGAAGTATTTTCCGGTCCTTATATCTTTTAATTTGTTTTCTTCTGTTACAAGTGATTAGATTAGTGCCTTTGAACTTTATGTTTCAACTTGATTATTAAGCCGTACTCTCGGTTTCTTGGCAACAATGTTTATCTGCATGCGCATCTTAATTTTGAGGAGGAATTAATTACAGGAAATTCCACCGGCGTTTGTAATGAAGAATGAAGATTGTCTGGCGGATTCCGTGTTCCTCAAGGATCCAACGGGGCGAGTTTGGCGAATAGAATTGACAAGGAGATGTGGCAAGGTGTGGTTGCAAAAGGGCTGGTCAGAATTTGCAAAATTTTACTCCCTGAACCATGGATACTTGTTGGTGTTTAGCCACGAAGGTGGTTTTTCACATTTCCTAGTGCGCATTTTTCAAAGGAATACGTTGGAGATTGATTATCCAATCAGTTCAAGCCATGATGGGGTACCCATGTTATGTGGTGGAATCCAGCTGCCGAAGAATGAAGAACATGGAGATAATGTTTCTGTCAAAATCTTGGATTCGCCTCGCCCAAAAACAAGAAGCGGTGGGGGCATGCATACGGATGAGGAAAAAACCACGAGGTTAAGTGATAGAGCCTTTTCGAGAGCTGTGAGTTTCAAATCTAGCAATCCGTTTCTCGTGGTCAAAATGCAGCCATCGTACATAGCAAGTCAGTTGGTAAGCTTCCTCGACATTTGTTCAATCCCAGTTCATATTAAAGTACGAATTAGGGAATGAAACAGCTTAAGGAGCAACAATGTTACATAATTTCTCAGCATAAATAGCAGCCCCCCTTTTTGGTTTGATTTTATATTTTGTGTTGTGATGTTTGCAGAGACTATCTGGATCGTTTGTCAGGCGACATATCTGTGCAAGAGGCGTTTGCGACATGAACCTAGAGATCTCGAGCAGGAGAAGTTGGCCTGTCAAGTGCCGCGTCGGGGTATACAGGAGAAAACAATATGCAAGAGTCTATGACGGTTGGAAAGCATTTGCGCGAGAGAATCGTGTTAAAGTAGGGGATGCTTGTGTGTTTGAGTTGATTAATAAGGGTGGCACTCGCAGTGCTACATTCAAGGTTGGCGTATACCGAGCTTAAGACACAGAGCTTATAGCCTTTGTGTCGATGCTGTTCAGTTCAGTGTGGAAAATTAACAAACTCTGTCAGGTAATCTTTGTTTTGGTTCGACTGCTTAGTACTTAATCTGTAATTTGGATATTGCCAAGATGATTGTATGCAGCCAACTCTCCATGTAATTTTTATTTTACTCTGTCGAATTTCAGATTTCATCCGATTCTTCTTTATCATCCCCCATACACGAGAAGTACACGAGAAAGACTTTCATGGCACCAAAAAAGTAAGCAACCGCGGCAGATTGAACCAAAAAAGTCATTCTCAATTGTAGGCTGAACAATTAACAAGCTCAACAGAATGATCGACAAATCAACCATACATCATCACCGGTAATGAACAAGCTGATATCTAATACATGGTAAATTCCAACATCCGCGAACCACAGTCAGCGGAAAGATAATAAAGCTTTCGATGCCAAAGGAATCGTCTCACTAACGATCAGGCTACCCCTCGTGACAAAAACCAAAAGCAAAACGAAAAGGAAAACCCTGTTGTGAAGGCCAAGCAAAGCAATCACAAAGTTGCGTATCAGGAAATAAACACATATTCAGGTGCATGTTAAAACAGGGAATAGCGTTGGCTTTGAAGATGCTGTAGCAAGGCTTTCATCCTTCAACCGTTGCGGTCCCACTTTCTGAGTCTTTTGCATCATCAGGCAGAAGCCTTTGCATCATGCTCCGCACTCGCAAGAGGTTTGGCGTCAGATTGTCCAGCAGCGGATGGTTGTTGGTCAATAGTTTCATCCTCTGCGTCACTGTCATCGTTCTCTGCTAGTAGTACAAGACAGTTAAATTAAACGTCAGTAATAAATTGTACGCTAACCAGCAGTTATTAATCAGTTCCAACAAAAAGAAAAATCTTGTCACTGGAATGGATTATAGATTGTGAAACTCACCATCAAACTTGCCAAGAGCATCAGCATTCAAGCCATCGCCACCCATGTTCAACTTCTGAAATAAGAGAAAGTACGCGATTGTTTAACATAAAAAATAATTTCATAATAACCTATAGTCAGGTGATCGTATAGCTACTTATAGTTTAGTATAAACAAATCAATAGTTGGGTGATGGTATGACCACTTACAGACAAATCAAAGTCCCCAAAGTTCATATTGTTTCCCAGTCCCCCAAAGTTCATATTGTTTCCGAGTCCTCCAAAGTCCATATTGTTTCCAAGTCCCCCAAAGTCCATATTGTTTCCAAACCCACCTGGACCTGGAAACCAAAATTACAGCCAAAAGCGTACAGTTAAAATTCCTCAAGGAAACCATGACAATACGGAAAGAGATTTAGGAAGGATTGGAGAAACACTCACCGCCTTCGTCACCTTTAACTTCTTCAGGCTCTTCATCTTCATCAACCCATTTATCCCAATCCACTTTCAGAAAAATAGGAGCTCTTCCTTGCTGTTTTATCAACCTGCTCCACCATTTATCCTCAGCTTTTTTCACTAGGTAACAGATATTTCTCAAGCCAACACTAGTCTTGGTCTCCTGCACGCAAAAGAATATCTTAGTCCCATAATTGATGACGGTACGATATTCTAGTAAAATGAAATAAATCCATGATGGTTATGGTTAGAAACTAACATTTATATCTATCTTGTCATAGAGATCAAGGTCAACTTCATAAGGTGTCTTCTCTGGTCCAGTAGTAGCAGAGAACAAAAACTTTCCTTCAGGCTCCAGTTTAAGCTTTACATCCTGGGCATCCGGCAAGTCAATAGTTATGTAGACCATATCAGACCTCTGGGCCCATTTCACATTAGGATGTCGGCTGAAATGTACATGTTCAAATGAAAATTAGTAAAGATTAAAGTACAAAACAATTGAGTAAATCATATACTCCAGAACATAAAAAAAAAAAAATAGAAGTAAGAACTTAAAATATTATCCATCATGCTAGCCACTTCTTATATCACAATTACTTCCACCTTTCTAATATCATATTTTTCCTTGTCATTTCTGCAATCAGTATAGCCCAATCTTTGAAACTTTGATAAATTGCATGCTAGAGTGTAGAGCCTACAAATGTCAGGCAGGCAGGCAGGCTGCTACACGGTGGATAGTAAGACCTAAACGTTCCATCTTACCCGCCAATTGTTAAATGTTAAATTTCTTGAACTACACAACCTATGCCAAATACCCAAACAGTTAAAGAACACTGGACACTCGTTGTACCCAATCTACATATATCCCAGGACCAAGAAAGTTATAAAGAAACAAAATGAAACCCCACAGCAGGGATCAAACACTATGAAACTAGAACTCAAGTACCACATAAGACTAATCAGACTGGCATTCATCTAACAGAAACTTTGTAGGTTCTAGCATTTAGTTGTTAAAAATCCTACACTAATCAAACATTCCTGTACAAATATCGAGCTTCATTGGCAAGCTGTCAATTATAAAATGTTCAAGCAGTTTTTATTCGAGCACGTAGTTGCAGTTTGCACAATTATTACAGCATGAAAAAACAGAAAAAAAGAAAATGGAAACAGGAAGTTTAGCAAAAATGGGAATAGATAAAATAAAGCCGGAAAATAAAGACCGAGCAATATCTCATTAAATCCCTGTTTGGTCGTAGAGAAAAGGAAATATAGAAAATAAGACAATAAATTTCCATTAAAACACTCAGCTAAATCAAAGAACATGTTATTTCCAGGAAAAATGAAAAACAAATCATTCCGAATTAAAACCCTAAACCTCTATAGAACCCAATTCACAAACCAAGCCGTCTAGGAAGATTCTAGTCTCCATACTCACAGATAACTCATTTTCCTTCACTTTCTCAGCAACCAAACAGAAAACAATCGAAAAGTATTAAAAAAATAAAGAAATAAAATTCGAAAACCTAATTCAAACCCTATGCTTCTTATGAAATCTCAAATAACAAAAGATAAATATCAGAAGTAAATGTAAATTCAAATAAAACGGGAGCTGAGAGCAACACCTCATATCGGCGTATTGATACTTGCTCGCAGAAACAGGGTTTACTTCGCAGTGAGAGATAGAGAGGGGAGAGAGAGTGAGAGGAGTGAGAGAGAGAGAGAGAGAGAGAGAGGTTTATAAAGGAAAGGAAAGGGCTTTTATTGTTATTTATAGATTTACGGAGGGTAAAATGTGAAAATGCAAGTTAAAAGGTAGGTCCGGTCGTACTTTTACCATTTGTCTAACGAATATGGTGGGGTCTTAGATTAGATGCTGCCGTGTGATTCCATACTTGGTAGGTTTAAAGATATTTTGGGAGGGATTCTCCCTTTTCTTTTTTTGGTCGAAAATAGAAAAATGATAAATTAGGTTGTCACTTTTTATTTTGCATGTAGGTTAATATTTTAACAGATTAGGGTTGAGTTTTTAGTCGTACATTACGGGTTTTAAAATTTTTCTCTCTTGTGATAATCCTGAATCCTATCTACTCTTTAGGTTTTATAGGTTATGTGAGAATTCAACCATCGTCCCCAGAGCCATGTGAACTAGAGTTCAACCGTCCCTTAATAATAAATTTAAATAAATAGAAGTGTTTGGGTTCTTGAAATTTACCCTATGCATTAGGTGGTCTCGCATGCATTTTCCTTCTCGCTCTCATAAACAAAATAGAGTAAATTGCTAATTTAGTATTTGAATTATCACCTGACTGAAAGTTAGGTTTCTAAACTATTTTTTCAGAAAAATCAATCATTGAATTATAAAAATCTGTCAATTACATCCCTAATATTATATTCGAAGCTATTATATTCAATTTTCCGTCAATGGTTAAGTCATCTTACTTGCATGTAATACACATTGAAGGGTAGATTGATAATTTTTCATAAAAAATAGTCTATAGAGTAGCTTTGGAGGGTAAATTAGATGTTAGATTCACAACCTATATGAAATGTTAAGGGCTTATACGAGAGAAAATGATAGTATTACACTATAGAGTATGTCAAGTGACTTAAGTTGACAAAAAAATTAAATAAAATAGCTTTGAATATAATAGTATGGATGAAATTAGTAATTTTTAAAGAATTTAAGGACTTATTTAACCGAAAAAAATAATTCAGGGATCTAATTTTTACTGAGGTGAGAGTTCAGGTACTAAATCGACAATTCACCCAACAAAATATTTCTACATCAACATGAAATGTAAGTCATGTAGAATGAGTTTTTCTTGGTTTTCACGTTTAGGGTTTAGACTCTTTATCAATGAATTATCGATTGTTTCTTTCAAAAGCAATGTTATTACATGTCTTGTTGGTTGGAAAACTTTTTTATTAACAAATTTTAAATGTATGTAGGATATCAATTTTTGCTGAAAAGTGTAAATAAAAATGTAAACTCACAATTTTTTTTAGAAGGTAGCTTCGTCAATTGAGGCGAGAAAAGTAAAAGGAATCTTGAATGAGAAGAGCTTAGCTCTTTAAAATTGAGGAGGAGTTACCCTAAAGATACTTAAAGATACTTAGTGACTGATTCACATAACTTCGTACTTATGTCCGGAATATTTTATATTATAAATAAAAAAATGTAAATACAAAAGGCCTTTAGACTCGAGTGTCATGGGCATGGGAATATCTGGATATGGCAAACTCGGAGTCCTTGTTACAGAAATGCACCTTCCTCGCGCGTATCAAACAGCTCCAAGCTCACCTTCTAACCAGTGGCAAATTCCAATTCTACCCCTCCCTCGCCACCAAACTCCTCGAGCGCTGCACCCTTTCCCCCGTCGCCAACCTCCCTTAGAGTAAGTCCGGCGGCGGCTTGTGCCTGATGGACTATGGATTGCACAGGACCCAATTGTTGGGTCAATGAATTCTAGCCCATGAGAGCTTCAGTGCCAGAGGGGGCCCGAGGGACAGGCCCGACACGAATTGGTGGCCTGAGATCCCGAGGTGGAGGTGATGCAATATAAAAATAATAAAAATAATAAAAAATCTAAAAAAAAATTAATTTTTTTTAAATTGATTTAATTTTCTATAAATATGTTATCATTATCTTCCAACTTACATCATGATTTTATATTTTCTCAAATACTTTGGGTTGTAATTTCTTATTTAATGATACGTGGTACAACGAGACCGATTAAAAGTCATATCTGAAATTACAAATAAAATGATTTTTTATTATCTTATAAAATAAAAAAATACTATATTTTATTACCTATTGTCATGGCTATTCAGTGTAGGGATGGAGATCTAAAAGGCAGTTACCTTGCATTTAGGCAATTTCATTACAGGCTATTCAATAGTGACTTGCCCTTTGCAATGGTAAAGTTACTCTTACGCCACAACGCTCTTCCACCACCTCCACAACCCTTCCACCAATCAATGGAACGCCGTCGTTCGAGGCCTCGCCCAGAGCCCCCAACCCACCCAAGCCATCGCATGGTATAGGAACATGTCCCAAGCTTCCCAGAAGGTCGACGCCCTCAGGTGCTCCTTCGTTCTAAAGGCGTGCGCAAGTGCGTTGGCTTTCACTGAGGCAATGCAGATTCACTCCCAAATTGTACAGTTCGGGTTTGGAGCCGACGTGCTGCTGCGAATCACTTTGCTAGACGTTTATGCGAAAGTGGGCGATGGAGTTTGCACAGAAGGTGTTTGATGAAATGGGTTGGAGGGATACTGCTTGTTGAAATGCTTTAATTTCTGGGTAGGCTCAGGGGAATCGACCCACTGAAGCTATAGCTTTGTTTCAAAGAATGAGCGAGGAAGAGGGTTTATGTTAGGACCTTACAATTATTATACAGCTATTAATTCCCACCCTTATGGTCTTTTGTCTTATCTGTGTAGAAGTTGGTTTCATCCAACGGTTGTGACGATGGAGATCTGTTCCAATCTGAGCTTTCCTCCTTTAGGGTTGTATTTAAGCCTCTTTCACCTTTTGGGAAAGGCATGATGAAGTCACGGTTCTCGGTGCGCTCTCCGCCTGTTCGCAATTGGGTGCACTCAAAAGAGGAAAAAAAGTACATGCCTGTATAATGGATGAGAAGCTTAATATACACGTCATTGTTTGCAATGCGGTTATTGATATGTACACAAAATGCGGCTTTGAGGACAAAGCGTATTAGGTGTTTGAGAATATGAAATGTGAGAAGAATTTAATAACTTGGAATACGATGATTATGGCGTTTGCTATGCATGGAAATGGTGAAGCACTTGAGCTTTTCGAACAGATGGATAAAAGTGGGGTGTACCCAGATGCAGTGTCGTATCTTGCTGCTTTGTGTTCCTGCAACCATGCTGGACTGGTGGAAGATGGGGTTAGGTTATTTAATTCAATGATGGGGCATGATGTTGCCCCTAATGTCAAGCATTATGGGACCGTGGTTGATTTGCTGGGTTGAGCTGGGCGGATCCAAGAGGCTTATGAGATCATAAATTCTATGCCTATGTTTCCTGATGTGGTACTCTGGCAAACTTTACTTGGTGCTAGCAAGACTTATAGGAATGTGGAGATGGCAGAACTGGCTTCTCAGAAACTGATTGAGATGGGGTCTAAGGGTTGTGGTGATTTCGTGTTGTTATCAAATGTTTACGCATCTCAAAAGAGATGGGACGATGTGGGCAGGGTGAGGGAGACCATGAGGAGAAGAGATGTGAAGAAGATATCGAGTTTGGGTTACATAGAAGTGGAAGGTGTGATACGCAAGTTCGTGAATGGTGACCAGAGCCATGTTAATCGGGGTGAGATTTATGCAAAGCTAGATGAGATCATGTTCAGGATTAAGGCCTACAGATATGCAGCTAAGACCAATAATGTGCTGCATGATATAGGGGAGGAGGAAAAAGAAAATGCATTGAGTTATCACTGCGAGAAATTGGTTGTGGCTTTTGGTTTGATTAGTACCAGTGAGGGGACACCAATTCAAGTGATTAAGAACCTAAGAATATGCGACGATCGCCATGTTGTGAGCAAACTTATTTCGAAGGTTTATAATAGGGAAATAATTGTGAGGTATCGAGCCCAGTTTCATAGATTTAAAGAAGGATTATGCTCTTGCTGAGATTATTGGTGACACTCATGGTTCGTATGAGCTAAATTGGAGATTCCGAAAGTGATGTCCAGTTAATTTGAAGAGGCATTTTGAAAGAACACATCCATTCTCTGGTGTTTTGATATTGTTCCAGTGACGGTCAGTAATTTTCAATTTGTTTTAGTCCAAATCAATCATTAGTTGTACACTTCATTCACAAGGATTTAGGGAAGATAAGTTTGAATGGACTGCCACTGCAGTTAAGCCTTCTTAGTGGCCCTGTAGCTGCAGCACCACGGAAACATAATTTTGCTATACATTGTTCTATGATTCTGTCTCAGATTTGGGGTGGTAAAACCTGAAATGAAATTTTGCTCAGTTATCTCTTGTTAATCATACGTGCCCACCGAATTGCATGGTACAAGGCAAAAAAATTGTGTAGCAAAATGAAAACTCACCAGCATATGCTTTCGAGTGTAGAAGAATAAGATTGAAGGGTTTGAAGCCTCTCTGATGCCGCGTCTGGACGTTTGCAATTGGTTACAGTAAGTCTCAATTGGAAGCTTATGCCTGAATAAAAACAGGAGGTTGTTTACCAGTGTCTTCAAGAATTTGTTTAGGTTGAAGAACCCTGTATATCCAGTGATCATGAAGCTTAGCATTGCACAGCATTGGTGCTAGTGTATTTTTCTTAGTGTGCCAACATACTGTGATTCGTATTTATGCGTGAATTTTCTGGCATCCACGTTAGCTCGGATCAGATGGGGTGTCAGTTTAGTTCAAGGGTTTGGGTTATTGCAATGCCCCAGTTATCATCTTCTTGTCGACAAAGCTAAACTTCAGATGGTGTTTGTTCGTTTAATTGAATTCTTTGAAGACAAATATGTAATATTTTCACGCCACATACAAACGGGTGTACATCAAGCAGGTCTGGACAGGCCTAAATCTCACAATTACAATGCAAAAGGCAGGTTGGTGGAATTAACACAACCAAGGAAATAGAAAATTACTGACACAACCAAAATAGGACTAACTCAGAACGACAAAACCCTCCAGCTAGAGCCTAGAATGTAGCCTCGATATCACGATTCTAATTCAGATTTCCATGAATGACCGACGCCTCAGCAATATAATTTCGTAGTGTGGAGTGAGCTTAAATTAATAAACTGCTGTGCTTCAAGTCAACTAGTCTTTCATTGCCTTCATTGCCCTTGCTTCAAACCCCCTTTTCGGTCTCTTGACAAGATTATACGGCATGTAGGTGCCAAAAAGTTTATCCCATATCGGGAAGAAGGGCTGAGAGTAGTTGTACTTCAAGCCTTGAAGTTGGTGGTGTATGTCATGATAAGTGGTGTTGTTCTGGAATAAAAGATGGAATATTACCAGGCAACCAAAGCCCACAGTGATCATCAATAGTTTTAATCACGGCCAAGGAAGAAAATATCGGTAATATCGGAAATATCGGTAGTCCGAAAACACGGAAATATCGATGGAAATATCGGGATAATATTGATATCGATAAAAATTACATGGAAACCACGGAAATTGTAAGAAAAACTAAGAAATTTTTATTGAAACTTTGCAGGATGTTTATTTAGTCAATTATCTATTAGTTTATCACAAAAAATTGGAAGGAAATGCATTGCATGATGGATTTAACATTATCAAGTTGATTATATAGCGAGCTGACAAACATTGTGAGTATAGAAAATATGTAGTAATTAATGAAAGAAGTCTAAACACACCATAATCATTTATATATAATGAATTAGTACAATATTTTACACTTTATACATTGCATTTTTGGTTTTTCTCTGACAGAATTTGGTCTTCACGTAGAGAAGAAGATAAAGTAAGCAGATTTTTTGGTTCTTCTCTGACAGAATATTTGGTTCTTCTGAGCAAAGTCACTTCCAAATCTTTCATACAAAACCGTGTGCCACACACACACACACCCTCAAAGTTTTTTTCTTTTTCTCTCGGATAACACACACACACACACACATAACCATACACACACACACACACACACACACACACAAAAAACCCTGGTTTCATACAAAACCGTGTGCCAAAACCGTGTGCCACACACACACACACCCTCAATGTTTTTTTTTCTCTCACGGATAACACACACACACACGCACACGTACACACAATCTCTCGATCCTTCTCCCTCATTCCACACACACACGCACACACACCCTCTATTTCCTTGTTTTTTCTCCAGTTCTCCCCCCATCTCTTTTCTGCATCTCTCTTTCCCAGAGGAGACAGACACACACACACCCCACTTCCCTGTGTTTCCCCCTTCCCCAATCCCTCGAACCTTCTCCCTCATTCCTCTCCTTGTTTCTTCTCCCCTCATTTCTGCAACTCTCATTCCCGAAGCACAACCACACCACACCCACACGAGGCGGAGGATCCATCAAACCCGAGCGGGTTTTAGGATCCGGAGAGAAGGGATTGCGGATTTTGATGGGTCTGAGCGCGGATTGCAGAGAGAGGCGCAGATCTTGGCAGCTGCGACGATGGAGCCTCGACTGCAGTTTTCCGACGACAGAGCCTCGGCGATTTTGTCGATAATATCGAAAATATCGCGATATTATCACAAAAACCATTTAGATAGTTATAAAAATATCGGTCCCCTTAAAAACCGATAATATCGGCGATATATTACCGATATTATCGACATTTTGTTCCTTGATCACGGCAAAACAGAAGAATATAACAGCCGTTCGTGCTGTCATCCCTGAGACTAGAAACGAGAGGGCCCTCCTGAAAGTGTCGAGTAAGAGACCCTCAAGCAGGTGATTATAAAGGGCTCCAATTGCATAGGGAACAACGAGTCTGTGGTGCTGAGAGTGGACATGGCGGTACAAAAACTTGTTCTGATGCATGTAACGGTGCACAAAGAACTGCCATGTGTCCATTACTAGCATTGCGATAACAATCTGGATAATTTGCACAGGTACGGAGGGCTGAATTGTGATCCCCGATGTATTCGCCCTCGAGGTCAACTGTAGCAAAAGTGCATGAACTTATTTAGTCAGGATAAGAGTTGACAGAAAGGACCTTCCAAATTTGGACAAATAGAGGACCTAACAGTTCACGACAATATTGAAATGAAATCAAAACAAGTTGGGGTAAAGTTAGGAAGACAGAAAATTGGTAAGAAATGTATTGGTCTTACCCATCATTGGGGCGAAATAGACATTCTTACAATAAAGACCTACTCTGAGTCATAGATCATAACGAAATATGAATTGGTTAACGTACAATTGCCAACGCTACATCACTTGTGCAAATTGTACATAAGGTACACCATACACCAAATGTAAGGCAGTAAAACTACTCAACTAACACCATGGTGCCTCAGGTGTATCCCTTTTATAAAGGAGAAAAATGACCTATGAGACCTACCCCATTAGGAATAGAGCTAGGCTAGACTCTAAATTATCTATTCGCTTCTTGTTGAACCCAACAAGATCCTCTCCAGATCCTTTTGGTGAGGATCCTGGGGATCCGTAAATCATGTCCATTCATCGTACATCATGTGGTCAGTTTTTGTCAAGTACTGTTTGTATTTAATTTTAAATAAAAATATTTAAAATGATTTTTTACCACACGTTGTACGGTGAATGGATATGATTCACAGATTCCTGGGTTCCTCACAAGGATCCCAGGAAAATTTAAAGGAGCATCCTTTCAGAGCATATTCAACTTTTTTAAGTTTCTCTTCCATGTTTCAGTGTTTCATGACTACAAACCTGTAGAATTAACAGGTCTCTTCAATAGTCTCATTTGGTAGGTATGGAAGGCAGCTGGTGTTTAAAGCCACCCATTGTCTAAGGTTTAACCATTTATCTATTTATTTTGTTGAAGAACCCATCGGCAAAGGTTGTGGTAAAGTGCTTCACCAAATAATGCTACAAATACAGGTGAATATAAAATCCAGATTGTAGGATCGCAAATTACACGGCATGAATTGGTATCGAACAATGATATGCAGGAGCAAGGACATCAAATGAGAGGGAAAACTTGGAGACTCAAAAGGCATCAAGTTTAAAGCCAGAGTCTAGATGGAACCGTGGAACCAAGAGAATCAAGAAAAGATCAGGACATCGTCAAGCCTTAAGAGACGTTAAGTGGGGTAGCTTGTGTCTAAAGCGTCTAGAACATGTCCAAGGTAAACCCAAAAAACATTTATACCAAAACAAACTACAAGGGGAAAGATCTGTATATTGCACTGAGCAACTTTCAAAATCAGTGCAGCTAAAGGCAATTTCTCAAACAGCCTACAATTGGATCATTTCTAATTCTTGAGATTAGTCACTTGATACTAATTTCATTAATTATGCAGGCACATATGAAAATGAAGTGCATTCAGCATAATTTGGGGTAATTCAAGTTGAAGTAACTGACCAAAAAAAGTCCCTGAGCAACGGTGGCCTGGACGAGCTGTTGAAGCAAAACACCTTTAACGACAGAGGGGAGAGGCACCGAGTTCTTCTCGTCTTCCTCTCTTCTTGTATGCAACCGGTAATTGTCCAAAGGCGGCAACAACTGGTAAACCCCCGCATACAACCAGTAAACCACAATTGGGGCAAAGGTCCCCATTGCCTCATCACTCACATAACCTTCCCAGAACGCCATCTTTTTTGTTCTTCGAAATTTCGAATCCAATTCAAGCTTATATCATATATTAGACTATTAGTCCCCAAAAAAATACACGACATTTACCGTTGAAGATCTAGAATTCGAATGCACATTCTTTGAACCCTGAAATTTAAAAATCAAGGAATAAGCAAATGCCTGAGTTTTTGATTGTTTCCCGACAGTAATCAATCACTCACAAGTTACTAAATTTCAAATTTTCCTTTTGGAATTTTATTGGAAACCAAACAGAGCAGAGAAAGATTCTTAATAACCCAAATACTTAGAAAACCACAAAGACATTGAAATGCAAATTGAGAGCAGGAGAAGAAATAGGTTTTTGGACCGACTTACAGAGAATGTGGGTTCTCATTCAGATCTAACGCCCTGTTTGGCGCACAGCAATGCAGAAACTCTCTTTTGCTGTTGACAGTTGTGAGATTCCAAAAGGATTTAAAATTGTAGAAAACAGGGTTCTGTGATCTTGTTTGGGAGACGAGAAAATCCAATCAATAATTCTCTCTCTTTCCCTGCTGCATTTATCTTTTAATAGTTACTACTATTTTCGTCAGGGGATCCTTGATCCCATTTATATTTTATAGCTAATTTAGCCGAGAAATCAATAAAAATTTACTATTTAGTCATATATCAATAACATATTTTTATTTTGAACATAATCAATTACATATCTCTACTAATTAATAAAACTTTCTTTGTCAACCAAAAGAGAGCGAAAAGACAACTTAGTCTTTTATCACACAAAAAAAATGATAGGCAATAATGTAATTTCACAAGTCTAAATTTTACTGTTTTTATTGAAGCATCACCTATAAATGATGTTAAAATATCTCTAATATTTAAAATTAAAAAATAAAAATAAAAAACCAAAAACTAAAACCTCCCACCCCCAAGTTCTCTTTGTCCCCCTCTCTCCTTCTCATTTTCTAAAATAATGTGTTCATGCACACAAAATGTGTAAGCAAATGCAAGTTTTTATTAATTAAACACAGTTCAACGATGAATGTCACATGAGCTTTAAGCCCATATAAATAGTTAGACTTGACTTTTCTATCTTTCTCTCTCTTTCTTTCTCTCGTGCTATTCGTTTACATGTAGGAGTCTGCCCACCCACCACCTAATTCTCAAAATCTAAGGCTCACATAAATGTCAGCACCACCCCACTCTACTTCACCGAAGAGCAAATATGATGATAGACAACAATTCTTCGATTAGCAAGTGACTAGGAAAGCAGATGTGGTGTCGGGTTGACACCCTTAGCGATGGTAGAACTACGTTGTCAATAACATCGTCTGTAAGCAAGACTCCCAAGACATAGGAAACATATAGAACGTCCTAATTCGGTATATAAATATGTTACAGAAGATTAAATTTTTGTTCAAGCCATCACAGAGAAGAGAGCTAGTCTAATTAACTAGAAGAGCTTACTAAGAAAGAAACGGTGAGATGAGAGAGCACAGAGTTCTACGGTCTGCAATTTAGAACCAAGAAATTGATACAGTGTTGCAGCGTTTGAATCAAAATGAAAAAAATCAGAAATGATGCGAGGTGTGAAGCATAGGAGGTGTGTGAATGATGAAAAAATGAAACCATCAGACATTGCAACGCATCGTTTGAATCCAAAGGTAAAAAATAGAACCAGAAAACGGACATTGCATTGTAGCGTCTATATCCAAATGTAAAAATGTGGATTCCCACAAGGGGTAAAACGTATGAGGCATGTGATTGATGTAAAAAGCGAAACTAGGAAACAGACGGTACCACACAGTGTCTGAATCCAAATGTAAAAACAAAATCAGGAAACAAAGACAGCGTTGTAGTGTCTTAATCGGTATTTACCTATTCTAAAATATAAGAAATATGAGAAATGATGTGTCACTTGAAGTGGACGCTAGCTGTAATGGCAGATTTTGTAATTTTTGTTTATTTTAAATGCATTAAGTATCACAATACATGGTTGACCTATTTATAATTAAAATAAATATTATTGATATATTGTAACTTTTTTTTATTGATTTTAAACAAAATCACCCATATATTTTTATTTTTGGGTGAATTTTTGTTCACCACAGTATTTATTACTATTAGATGAACTTAAATTTTGAGATTTGTGTCTATCCACTATACAGATCTCAAACTTTAAACTCATCTAATGATGATGGATAGGATGATGAGCAAAAACATTTCCTTTATTTTTTGCTTGGAGCCTCTGATTTGTCACTTGGATTGTCTCACCCAAAACTCTAAATCTCATGTGCAGATTTTATCCTTTCCTAGGGGTATTGAGTTTCTTCTCTTATGTTTGCTGATGATTGTTTAATCTTTGCAAAAGCCTCTAGTACCGTTGTTAGGAATATTTGTGTAGTTCTAAATATTTTGGCAACTGCTTCAAGTCAACAAGTTAATTTTCATAAGATTACCATTTATTTTTCCCCTAATCCCTCTACTTCCTCTAAGTCTCAAATTACTGATTGCCTAGGTATTCAACATAGAGGCTCTATAGGAAGATATCTAGGTGTTCATAATATTATTTTTTGGAAAGAGTCTATTAATGCAAAAGAATTTCTTATTAAAGTTAAGTAAAAGTTTTCCGAAAGTAATTTGCGTTATAGGGATGAGAATCTTACTCATATTTAGTCTAATGTATTTAGTCTTCCCAATCATGTCATGTCTGTTTCTCGTGTTTGACAAAAATTACTAATGCCCTTGATAGACAAGCTCAACATTTCTTTTGGCGCAATAATGGCAAAGGCCCGTTATAATGACAAATATGTTAGCATGCCTAAGTCCATGGGTGCTTAGGTATAAGATGGATCATTGTTTTAATCTTGCAACTTTAGCTAAGCTAGGATGAAAAGTATTGACCAAGCTTGATAACTGATGGGTTCAAATTGTTTATTCTAAATATATATGGCAATATCATTTATTAGTTGTTAAAACAAAATATACGTCTTCAGCTGCTTAGAATGGTATTTACAAAGCTAGGCAAATCCTGCTTCAAGGTATGACATGGTTTGTTGGTAACGACATGAGATACTTTGGTCTTTGGTCTTATAATTGGGTTCTTTCGTTCTTCTGCTTTCCTTACTTTCACCTTCTCAGGTTAATGATTGTTCGAGGCTTTCTGGATCAATTATTATTTTTGGATTGATTCACTAGCTTTCATAATTGGGATCCCTTTTATTTATTTATTGAAATTTCCTTGGCAAAGTTCTTATTGTTTGTTGGCAAGTATTGGAAACTACAAACCATATTTTGTTCAAGAATGAGTACCTTCACCCCATTAGAGTTATTAGAGTTTTTATTGATTTCCATAGTTGATATGGTTTGTGTATGAGTTTGCTGGAAATATGAACAACAACAAGAAAAACAATGGTGCTTGAATGAAAATGGAGCGTATGTTGCTCTCTCTATTGCATTGGATTCGATTACATGGGCATTCAATCACACACACGTACATAAGGTGTGAATGAATGAAAATGACAAATATAACAGTTAAAGCTCACATGCTTAAGCCGTGTAAGCTAGCTCACATGTAGCTTAAGGTGCTACTTAAAAAAATAACAAACTAGGATAGATGACACACTATCCATCATTTAGATGTTTAATCCTAGCCAACCATTTCACTTGAATTAACACTTAAACAGTTAAGCTAAAAACCCAGCAATGCTGATTTGCATTGTGATGCAATCTAGCCACCTTGATTCAAACTAGCAACATATTTATCCTGCAACACTCCCTTCTAAGGTTGTTGTTGACTTTACTCTAAGCATTCATTTGAGATAGTTGAACCTATCCTTAGACAAAACCTTGGTGAATATGTATGCTCCTCAGATTAATCACATTATTCTGCAAAGCTTCCTTAATGAAATGATATCTTCTGTTGATATGCTTAAAAGTTTGATGAAACACTAGATTCTTTGTCATGGCAATGACAATGGTATCATCACAATACAATATTGTCGCATCAGTTTGCAATTCACCAAAATCTTCCAAGACAAACCTAAGCTAAATTGCTTGAGTTGTGACTTTTGATGCACTCACTTACTCAATTTCTGTTGTAGATAGTGCTACATTGAATTTACCTTAACACCCTTGTAGCTGTGCCAAAGTGTTCCTTTGTAGGATTGTGCATGAATCTTGAGAATGGGCTAACTGCAAACATTATATCAAGTCTAGTAGTTGTCAAGGATAACATATTACCAACCATTTGCCTATAGAAAGCCTTAAGCTGAATTGCTGTCATCCTCAGGGTTGAGATCTATGTCAAATTCTTTATAGCTCGTCTACTGATCTTTCGACTGTGATTGTTATGTTAATTCGTCTAGAGCAGCGTTGGAACTCCATTCTCCCTTATGGATCATGCTCAGGCTTTCGACAGCGCAGCAGCGCGCTGCTGATTGGTCTCCGTTTATTTCCTTTACACCGTATGAAGCGGGGTATTAGTGAAGTTAATGATAGCTAGACGGAATAACTTTCATCTTGTGTAACTAATTTCGGCCGATAATAAAGGCAGTCCACAACATGAAAGGTCATTAAGCGGTTGTAAGGCTCTACCTAGACTACCAATTTTATCGTTCCTAAGGATTGAATGGTGCCCGTTTGAAGGTGTGGAGGGTGGTCCTTCCTTTGTGGCTATCAAGAATTGCCATATTTTCTACAACATCCTTGAAGAGGAGATTCACTCCTGATCCATTGTCCACCAAGACATGGCTGACCATGGCATTGGAGATTTACATCTTGACGATGACGACGTCATCAAGGGGTGAATGGATGTCTTCCAGGTCTCGATTAGAGAACATCAAGATGTTCTAGTCCATGGACATTGATTTGTTGATTGAAGCCACCATTTGAGGCTTCTTGCATGCTGTCTTTGTTTCCTTTTTGGTGTTTTTCAATATTTTTGTTTGCCGTATATGCAGTTTACTCTTGGGAAGGTTTCTACCTCCAAGGGTGGAGATCTTGAACCTTCAAAGCAGTGGCGAAGCCACGTGAGGACGAGGAGTGACGACCGCCCCTCCCCTCGCCGGAAAACACAGCTGAAGCCGAGGTTTCACCCCTCCCCTCACCGGAAAACCCAGCCCCTCCATCTCTGTTTTGGCACCGGTGAACTGGCGTGCAGCAGCAAAACTGGTTCTTTTTTTTTCTTTTAAATTAATAAAAAATTTAAAATCTGCTTTACTTTAGTCAGCCCACGTGAAACTTTCAGAAAAAAACCAAAAAAATATATATGTATAATGTATTGGGGGGGACCGCATGCTTTAAAGCTGGTTTACCATTCCAAAATTCTGCCACTTTAGTCAGCCCGCATGCTTTAAAGCTGCTTTACCATTCCAAATTTCTGCCTTCCCAATCAGAGAGAGAGAGTGCAAAGCTTCTCCCAAAATCTCAGCAACCTGAGCCTGCAACCAACGCCCAACCCCAACGGAACGGAAAATAAATCCCCATTGGCTGATTTTTGTTGGCCTTTTGCTGCTAACACTAGCCATTCCAGCCGCTAAGCCGACTTCTAGCCTTCAATTTCAAAGGTAAATTTTTTAATTCCTAAATTTATAATCCCTAACCCTAATTAATTATTTAATACGAATTTTGTTTAATTAGTATAGAATGATATGGTAATGCACTAATATGGTTATTGATTATTGATTATTGATATGATTCTATGATTATTGATTGATATGAAATTATGAAATTATTTTTTAGGGTGAAAATTAAAATTTGAATTTTTGATTAGTTGTATTCATATGATTAGTTGAATGAATTTTTTATTTATTTAATAATTTATATGCTTATTGGTATTGATTAATTGAATTGTTGGTTGGGTTATTATGCATATTAGTATAGACTATAGGATTAAGAGTCTAAGATTTTTTTTTTCTTTCCATTTTACAGTTACGTAATGGAACGGTACTATAAGAAACAATGCTTAAATCCTCCTTCAAACATTTCGGGTAGTCCTTCTCCTTCAAATATTCCAAGTAGTCATCCTCCTCCTCCTTCAAATATAAGAAGTCCTCCTTTGAATATTCTGAGTAGTTCACAACAAAGTGAGCCCACTGAGTTGGATGAGATATTGGCTAATCTTCATGCAGACCCTGGATATAGACGTCGAATGCTTGATTATCCACCTAATTATCGTGAAGCAATTCGTAGACACTATCTCCAAAATGATCCTTGTCAACCTAGAGACCACATTATGCCAAGAAAAGTTAGCAACAAAAGATGTTTTATCACCGGTTGGTTTGATAGGTTTAAGTGGTTGAAGTATAGTATATCAAAGGATGCTGCATTTTGTCGTTATTGCTATCTTTTCAAATGTGATTTCGATCAAATGGGTAGCACTGGAAATGATGTCTTCACCGAGAAAGGGTTTACAAATTGGAGGAAAGGACCCGAAAATCTTCGAGCCCATGAGGGAGGTGTTGGAAGTCTTCATAATAAAGTTGTACAACAAGCTAGAGATTTGATGACACAAAAACAACACATTGAAACATTTGTGATTAAGCAAACCGATGAAGCTCGCAATAATTATCATACTTTATTGAGAGCCTCACTTGAGTGCACAAGATGGTTGTTGGGACAAGGTTTGCCTTTTCGTGGTCACGATGAATCGTTGAAATCAAGCAATAGAGGTAATTATTTGGAGCTTATGCACTTTCTTTCCAAGCATAATGAGCAAGTTAGGAAGGTTGTGTTTGAGAATGCTCCCAAGAATCTTAAGTATACTTCTTCTGATATTCAAAAAGATCTTGTCCGTGCTTGTGCCATTGAAACTATAAATGCAATCACTAAAGATATGGAAGGTGAATTTTTTTCTCTTTTGGTTGATGGATCACGTGACTCTTCAACTAAAGAGCAAATGGCGGTGGTATTGCGTTATGTGAACAAAAAATGAGAAGCAATTGAAAAGTTTTTGGGTGTGCAACATGTCTTCTCTACAACTAGTAGCTCGCTTGAAGAGGCTATTGAGAGATTCTTTGCTACAACAAATTTGAGTATGTCCAAGTTACGAGGACAGGGCTATGATGGAGCTAGTAATATGAAAGGTGAGCTAAATGGCCTTAAAACAAAGATTTTGAACAAATATCCTCAAGCATTTTATGTTCATTGTTTTGTACACCAACTTCAACTAGCTCTTGTAGCCGTTACAAAGGGAATTGAGGGTGTCGCCATTTTCTTCAACAATGCTAGTATTTTGGTCAATACAATTGGATCATCGTGTAAGCGTCGTGATGCATTTAGAGAGAAACAACAAGAACAAATTAAGAAAGCTCTTGATATTGGTGATCTTGAAACGGGTAGAGGGTTAAATCAAAAGAATAGTCTCATGCGTCCTTGTGATACACGTTGGAACTCACATTATGGTACTATAGTTAGTATTATTATCATGTTTGAAGCCGTGGTTGAGGTGCTTGAATGGATTAAAGATGATACCAACCAAGACAATTTTGGTGAAACAAGTCATTTATTCCATAACATACAAACTTTTGATTTTGTGTTTCACCTTTTTTTGATGAGACTCATATTGGGAGTTACAAATGAGTTATCACAAGCATTACAAAAGAAAGATCAAGATATTGTGAATGCAATGGGGTTAGTGGAAGTATGCAAGCAAAGACTACAATCCTTGAGAGATGATGACTTTGGGGACTTGCTTGATGATGTACAAAAGTTTTGTTAAGAGCATGATATTGTCGTTCCTAACATGGAGGATTTGCATTTTGTACCTGGAAAATCAAGGCGTAAAGCTCCAAGACTCACAAACTTCCATTACTATCGTGTGGACCTCTATTTTCAAGTCCTTGATACACAATTAAAGGAATTGAATGATCGCTTCAATGAGGTAAACACCGAGTTGCTTCTTTGTATGGCATGTTTGAGTCCGGTGAATAATTTTGCATCTTTTGACAAAGCAAAAATTGTTCGTCTAGCTCAACTTTATCCTCAAGATTTTGATCGTATGGACCTCATGAATCTTCCAATTCAACTTGACAATTACATTCACAATATGAAGATGCATAGTGAGTTTTCGTCATTGAGAGGAATTGGTGATCTTGCAAAGGAGTTGGTGAAGACTGGGAGGTGTGCAAGCTACATATTAGTGTATAAGCTTCTTACATTGGCTTTGGTGTTACCGGTTGCAACCGCTTCGGTGGAGAGAGCTTTTTCTGCTATGAAGATTGTGAAAACACCATTGCGTAACAAAATGGGAGATCAATGGTTGAGTGATAGCATGCTTGTTTACATAGAGAGATATGTATTTGCTTTTATTGATAATGAGCCTATTATGCGACGTTTTCATGGTATGAAACGTCGTCGGCAACAATTGTAATTTGTTTATGTTGATAAATTATGGAAGACATTACTATATAAATGATTTGGTTGTTGCTATTCTTTTGAACCTTGCACTCTTTTAACTTCGCCCCTCCCCCCGTCAATTCCTGGCTTCGCCACTGCTTCAAAGGGGTGTGTTTCGGGGACAGGACGCCGGGGCGACGTTTTAAGACTCCAATCAACGGTTTATATTGCTTGAGCCAATGCCTCTTTAAAGTGAGTAGGGATGGCAATGGGGCAGATTGGATTCGGATGTGCCATCTCTATACCCAAACCCGTTTATTTTCCTTGAACCTGAACCTGTAGAATCCCTGAATGAGTTTTCCCTATAACCGAACACGTTGGGTGACAGATTTGTAATCAGGAAACAATTTTCCTCATTATGATATTTATATATTTATTTATATTATTAACTTGTACAAGTTTTCAAAAACTAGCATCAGTCATTACTGTTGGGCACACTACACCCTCTGAGCACCACCAGGCATGTCATCATCCTCATCATAGGCCTTTTGTTGAGCATGTTGTTGCTTCCTCCTCATCTCCTCCTCCATGTTCACATCATGCAGAGTTGACTCCTCACACTCATTCACCTCCATATCTGTGAGGCTTTAATGCATGATTATTAACAACCCCTTTTCATATAATAAATATTTATATATTTTTTATTCATAGATAAAATGGTTCGGTTTCGGGTATAGGTTTAGAGCGGATACCCCAATAACCATAACCAAACCCGAAACCGAAAATTTTACCCAACGATTACCCATAACCATAAAATACCTGAAATTTTATGCCCGAAACCGAACCATTCGGATCGGTTACTTGTGGAGATCGGATTTAATGGGTTAAATTACCATCCTTAGAAGTGAGAGACACTTCTCCCAAATCTTTTAAACCCATGGGCTCCTTCCAGATCTTTAACTCATGCTTTTATGTCGGCGAGTCTTGCAGCTCTTTAGTCAACAGACTCTTTCGAATGTCATCCTGAGACTCCATTACATCTTCCCAGATCTGATCTACGGCGGTGACATTGTTGTAGTCTTGGTCTACGTCGTGTGTGGGAGTGACGGGACTGCCGTGAGACTTGTAGCGAATCATGTAACCGCACCACACCCTAAGACCATCTCCAATGGTGACCTACAACCTAAAAATATTTAGCCCAGAAAATTTAGGTGTTAGCCTATAAACAATTTTTCTACTCCAACCCTTTTGACCTAAAATTTTAGCCCAAGATTATCAAAGAATGAATTAAGGCTATTTTTTTTAAATTAACTTAAAAAAAAAATTATGTAGACTATCCTAAATTAATTTTATGAACATTTTAACCTAAAAATATTTAAATTCTGATAAATTTTGAAAAATCACTAAATCAATACATGAAAATCATGATAACCACATAAACTTAATACAAACAACATTTAATAAACCACATACACTTAATACAAATGACAATTAATAAACCACATAAACTTAAAAAAAAAAGACAATTAATAAACCACATAAACTTAATACAATCGAAAACTCATAAACTACATAAAGTGCATGCTTTGTTGATAATCTTCCACTAGGCATGCCAACCATGGCTCTCCAAGCTTCCCTTCCACAAAGTGCATGCTTTGTTGATAATCTTCCACCGATCATAAACACCACCAATTTCCCTTCAACTGGCGTTGGAGTTTTCATGGAACTTATCAACGATTTTACCCCACAAAACCTTTCTATTTTGATTCGTGCTGACGGCACCATCTTCGCTAATAGAAATCCATGCCAAACATAAAGCAATATCTTCGTCAAAGGTCCAATTATGACCTCTAACATGCTCTTTTGCCATCTTAAAAAATTTGGAAATGAGAAGAAATGGTGGAAAGAAAAATTGGAAGAATTGTAGGAGAAAGTGAGTTTTGTGTGGATGTTTGAACAAATACATAGGTATTTATAGAGTTTTTGGTTGAATTTTAAGTTAAATAATTTTTTTTAAATTGTTTTAGTCGTTGGATTTAAATTTGGATTGTTAGATCTTTTTTTTTACCGTTAGATTTAATTATATTCGATTTAAGCCGTTGGATTCAATAAATATATAAATATAAAACTAGAAAAAAAAATTTGAACGTGGACCGTTGGATTAACCAACGGTCCAATTACATTGGCCGTTGGATGAAGAAAAGTAGTCATTGGGCTACAGTGTACATGACACGCTGAGGCTGACAACCCACATGGGGTGGGCCTCGGCTGGAAATTGTTGGGCGCGTGATGTGTGTTCAGCATCTGGGTTTTTAGGGTGTGGGCTTCGCAGCCCACTTTTCACTTTCACCCGTGGGTCCCATTTTATTTTGTGGGCTAAATTGTGGTTGGTATTTGTCTTCCTTTTAGATTTTAAGTTTTAGATTTGGTTTAGGTTTTGGGTTGGAGTGGGTTTTGAGGGAATGAAAATTTTAAGTTATAAGACACTACTGGAAATGGTCTAACCCAGTTACCCCTTGGCCACGCTTCATATCAATTATCACGCACACAAAGGGAAAAAACATAATTTAAAAATAATTGTTTAATTAATAAATAAAATAAAAAATTGCCAAGCTGCAACGCAAGTTCAAGGAAACTTCCGAATCCCCTCACTACTAAACTCTTCTCATCCGCCCTATTCCTCCTTTGACAATTCACATTGACCACCAACCCCATCCCCTCTCTCTCTCCTCTGCCCTAGGAGAGTCCTACGGTGATTATGTAGGACTTGTCTTCTCTCTTTCTATCCACATCGCTCTCTCTTGCTTCTGATCGATTGATTTGTGCTTCAAGTTTTTCAATTTTTCTTTGTTTGAGGGTTTTTATTTTGTTGGAGAGGAAGCGATGGTGACGGAGGACGATCCAGCTGCGCTTTTCTGCGATGGACACTTTGCCGCGCCGGGGTTTCGGTTCCATCCCACCGACGAGGAGCTTGTCCTCTACTATCTAAAGCGGAAGATCTGTAAGAAGAGGCTCAAGATTGACGTCATCGCCGAGACCGACGTCTACAAGTGGGACCCTGAGGAACTTCCCGGTAAGGGTTTTAGAGGTTTTTCCGTGAAAGCCTTGGTTTTTTGTATGATTTTTGATATGGGGTTTTTGGGTTTTGATTGTTTGGTTATTTATTTTGTTTTTTTAATCAGCTTTGTGTAAGTCAAGCTTCTGTGTGGATGATTGATTGCTGTAGAACAGGTGATAGAGTCTTGATCATTGAGTCAACCTTTTTGATCAAATTCCAATCGGTGCATGAATTCTTAAACCCTAATTTTAATTGTTTGGATCATTGCGGATTTGGGTTTTTTTAGATTGCTTTGCTTCTACTTGCTGTATATTCATATTGGCTGATGGGTTTTGGAGTATTGTTTGATTTGTTGACTGGATATCGCTTTGTCGGGTTGGCTTGGTTTGCTACGATTGGTTAGACTTATACTTTGGTTATTGTTGATGGGTTTGGTTAACAGGGTTTTCATTCCTTTTCAGATTTGTTTCGACACACGCTACTCGAATTTTGCAGGATGCTATGGTGATATATTCTATGATCTAATCAAGTGAACTACTATAATGTCTGTAGTGCGTAGTAGCAAAGTAATTTAATATTCGTTCTTAGCCATTGGTTTATAAATTCCAACTTTAAAATTCCAAGTAGATGTGTGTTAAATCCAATTGCGTTTAGGATGGAAATGGTTTTGAATGATTTTGATATTCATTAATTTTACAAATCCCATCCTTAAAATTCCAAGTAGATGTGTCTGTTAATCCGATTGTGTTTGGGATGGAAATGGTTTCTGATTTTTATTAATTTTAATTCATCTTTGCTAGTCTTAGCTTTATGTATTAGATAGCTGCTTTGCTCTCATAATCTTTGTTGTTTGAGCTCACATTTTTTGTTGATTGAATTTGGTTACTAACTAGTTAATGTAATAATGTGATATGATATGCAGAACTATCTTTGTTGAAAACTGGAGACAGGCAATGGTTCTTTTTCAGTCCTAGAGATCGGAAATACCCTAATGGAGGAAGATCAAGCAGGGCAACCAGACACGGGTATTGGAAAACTACAGGAAAGGATCGTAATATTGTATGTTATTCACGGTCTGTTGGATTGAAGAAGACCTTAGTTTATTACAAAGGCCGTGCACCTAGTGGGGAGCGCACTGACTGGGTGATGCACGAGTATACCATGGATGAAGAAGAGCTCAAGAGATGCCAGAATGTACAGGTATTAATTGGAATAACATCCTTTTCAATATGGTCTTGAATTTTTTTATTCTGTAAACTATAACTTTCCTTTTTGTTCTTCCTTTGTTTTAGCAATATTATGCTCTCTACAAGGCTTACAAAAAA